AATCCCAGCCATGCTGCTTCCTAGCTGATTTTCCCCAAATATATAATGGGGACAATAACCTTCTAGAGAATTACAGGAGATCATGAGGAAAAAGCATTTCACGCAAGGCCTAGTCAATACACAACAGCTGCCACTATGGCTATGAACCGAAATTCACGATAAACTGCAATTCATGATAAACTGCTTCTAACAATGCATGCTATCCTCAACAAAGAATGTATGCAGGGGAGGGGGTGCTAAAGACATTCCTGGGGGCAAGGACAATACGTGGAAATGAATTATATTCATGCCTATTGGATATTTTCTTTGGATTTTGTATGCTGTTTCGATTTTTATAAATTTTTTTCTTAAGGGAAAAAAACACATTTTTTTTCTTAAGGAAATAGACACTGGCCAGACATGGTGGCTCACGCCTGTAATCCCAGCACTTTGGGAGGCTGAGGCAGGTGGATCACCTGAGGTCAGGAGCTCAAAACCAACCTGGCCAACATGGTGAAACCCCATCTCTACTAAAAATATGAAATTAGCCAGGCATAGTAGCACATGCCTGTAATCCCAGCTACTGCAGAAACTGAGGCAGGAGAATCGCTGGAACCCGGGAGATGGAGGTTGCAGTGGGCCAAGATTACACTATGGCACTCCAGCCTGGGCAACAAAAGTGAAACTGTGTTTCAAAAAAAAAAAAAAAAAAAAAAGACCCTGTTGTTGCAAGCCTGTGGGTTGCCTGAGCGCAAGTATGGGCTCCAGGTGGGTCTTTTGAGGAAAGGATCTTGTTTTTACCTTCCATGTAAAAGTTACTTTATCTTTCCCAATACCTCAGTGGTTTTGAACCCAAGCCTCTGGGAAATGTCCCAACCTCCTGTCCTCACTCAGTGCCCCATGCTGTCAGGCTTAGAGGAGGCTCTTTCTCCTTATGGAGGACCAAGGAAACGTGTCAAGGTCTGCCATTACCCCATCTTTCTTCCTTCTCCATAATAAGAACATTAATGTGGAAAGAAATAATTGAAAGAGGAGCGGCCGGGCGCGGTGGCTCATGACTGTAATCCCAGCACTTTGGGAGGCCAAGGAGGGCGGATCACCTGAGGTTAGGAGTTCGAGACCAGCCTGGCCAATGTGGTGACACCCCGTCTCTACTAAAAATACAAAATTTAGCCAGGCGTGGTGGCAGGCGCCTGTAGTCCCAGCTACTTGGGAAGCTGAGGCAGGAGAATTGCTTGAACCCGGGAGGTGGAGGTTGCAGTGAGCCAAGATCGTGCCATTGCACTCTAGCTTGGGAGACAAGAGCGAGACGTCGTCTCAAAAAAAAAAAAAAAAAAAAAAGAAAAGAAAAGAAAGAGGAGCTAGAATAAGAAAATAAAAGCTGGTAAATTAGTTCAAACATTGTGGAAGACAGTGTGGCGATTCCTCAAAGATCTAGAACTAGAAATACCATTTGACCCAGCAATCCCATTACTGGGTATATACCCAAAGGATTATAAATCATGCTACTATAAAGATACATGCACACGTATGTTTATTGTGGCACTATTCACAATAGCAAAGACTTGGAACCAACCCAAATGCCCATCAATCATAGACTGGATTAAGAAAATGTGGCACATATACACCATGGAATACTATGCAGTCATTAAAAAGGATGCGTCACGTCCTTTGCAGGGACATGGGTGAAGCTGGAAACCATCATTCTCAGCAAACTATCACAAGGACAGAAAACTAAACATCGCATGTTCTCACTCATCGGTGGGAATTGAACAATGAGATCACTTGGATACAGGGAGGGGAACATCACACACTGGGGCCTGTCAGGGGGTGGGGGGTTAGGGGAGGGATAGCATTAGGAGAAATACCTAATGTAGATGATGAGTTGATGGGTGCAGCAAACCAACATGGCACGTGTATACCTATGTATCAAACCTGCACGTTGTGCACATGTACCCTAGAACTTAAAGTATAATAATAAAAAAAAGAAAATAAAAATATTCTACTCTCCAGATATAGCTATTGTTAACATTTTGAGAAAATATCCTTCCAGATAGTTTTTCTCTTTCTTTCTTTCTTCCTTTCCTTTCTTTTCCTTTTCTTTTTAAATTTAGAGACAAGGTCTCATTACATTGCTCAGGCTGGTCTCAAACTCCTGGGCTCAAGTGATCCACCTATCTTAGTCTCCCAAAGTGCTGGGAATACAGGCATGAGCCACTGTGCCTGGACTCCAGAGAGTTTTTCTATGAATATAAATCATGCACTTTCTTATTTAGAAAAATGATTTATGTTATTACAACTGTTAATAATAGCTTTTCTCTTTTCTTAAGTATATTGTGGTTCTCTTACCACATCATGAAATGTTCTTCTATATCACCATTTAAAAAAAAAATCGTTTTTTTTCTTTTTTGAGATGGAGTCTCGCTCTGTCGCCCAGGCTGGAGTGCAATGGCATTCCCAAAGTGCCGGGATTACCAGTGAGCCACCACCCCCGGCTCCACATTTTCGTATAGGCCCGTGGAAATAGTTTCTCTATCAGATCCAGTACAAATTGCAGACATGTCTGGCAACGAAAAAATATATATATAGAGAGAGGCAACTTCTAGTATTTTTAGACTTGAGTAATAGCTGCAGTAGCACGATCTCAGGCCACTGCAACCTCGGGTTCCCAGGTTCCCAAGTGGCTGGGATTACAGGCACTTGCCACCACACTCAGCTAATTTTTTAAATTTTTACTAGAGACAAGGTTTCGCTGTGTTGACCAGGCTGGTCTCAAATTCCTGATCTCAAGTGATCCACCCACCTCAGTCTCCCAAAGTGCTGGGATTACAGGCATGAGCCACTGTACCCGGCCTCACACATTCTATTTCAAAGGCTGATCTAAGTTTACTCCTACCTCAGTTCTCCTGGCACTGCATAGGTCACCGTAATAGCAAGACCCCAAGGCTCCCTTGATTCAGAACTGCACTTTTGAAAGACCCTATCTCAGAAAGAAAAAAAAAAAAAAAAAAAGGGCCAGGCGCTGTGGCTCACACCTGTAATCCCAGCACTTTGGAAGGCCGAGGCGGGCGGATCATGAGGTCGGGAAATCGAGACCATCCTGGCTAACATGGTGAAACCTGTCTCTACTAAAAATACAAAAAAATTGGCCGGGCGTGGTGGCACACACTTGTAATCCCAGTTACTTGGAAGGCCGAGGCAGGAGAATCCCTTGAACCCAGGAGGTGAAGGTTGCAGTGAGCCAAGATAGGGCCACTGCACTCCAGCCTGGGCAACAGAGAGAGACTCCATCTCAAAAAAAAAAAAAAAAAAAAAAAAAAAAAGAAAGAAAATGTGGATGCGGGGAATGATCCTATGGTTGTCTGCTCTTTTCCAGCTGGCCAGCAGGGGTAGCTGAAAAGTGACAGGATGCTGATGAAAACCATGGCAGATGTGAAGAAAAGAAAAAGTTGATGGAATTTTGCACATGTGTCTGACAGTTCACCCACGCAAACTTTTACAAAGTGCTGTAAAGCTGTTGTAGTAAGGGTTGGACATGGTGGCTCATGCCTGTAATCCCAGCATTTTGGGAGGCCATACGCACGAGGATCGCTTGAGCCCAGGAGTTCAAAACCAGCCTGGGTAATATAGTGAGACTTCATTTCTACAAAAAAGTTAAAAACTTAGTAGTGTATGGTGGTTTGTGCCTGTGGTCCCAGCTACTAGAGAGGCTGAGGTGGAAGGATAGTTTGATTCTGGGAAGTGGAGGTTGCAGTGAGCCAAGATGGTACCACTGTACTCCAGCTTGGGAGACAGAGCGAGACTCTGTCAAACCCCCTAGCTAGGTGACCCTAAGTCAATAAGGAGGGATTTGGTTACACCCTGGGAACTAAGGCACAGAGACGAATGTTCCAGCTCAAGGCCACCCCTGCCATTCAGCTCCCTTGCTTCTTCAGTTACTTGTAGAAATTATCAATTCCAGGTCTGGGGCAAGAAATGTAAAAGATTACCTGGAAACTCTTGTCACATGAAATAGCAGGGACCCTATCAAAGACTACATGTCAAAAGGATTCAGAAGACACTGGACAAGGCTCCCACAGGTCAAGATGAGACCTCTCTTGGTGGACCTGTCAATTCTTGCACGTGTCGACCAGCTGTCTTGCCTACCTAGCCCCATAGTCATACCTTTCTATCCTTTTGGTGATCTCCACTCCATCAAGAAGTGGCTCTGCACATCCTATTTCAATTGACTTTTTTTTTTTTTTTTTTTGAGATGGAGTTTCACTCTATCACCCAGGCTGGAGTGCAGTGGTGCAATCTCTGCTAACTGCAACCTCCACCTCCCGGGTTCAAGCGATTCTCCTGCCTCAGCCCCCCAGGTAGCTGGGATTATAGGCACGCGCCACCATGCCCAGCTAATTTTTTTGTATTTTTACTAGAGATGGGGTTTTGCGGTGTTGGCTAGGCTGGTCTCAAGCTCCTAATCTCAGGTGATCCGTCCGCCTCGGCCTCCCGAAGTGCTAGGATTATAGGCATGAGCCACCGCACCTGGCCTGCATGTTTTATTTTAAAGGCTGATCTAAGTTAACTCCTACCTCACATCTCCTGAGACTGAAGGGCTTGCCGTAATAACAAGTCCCCAAGGCTCCCTTGATTCAGAAATCACTGAGGCAGCAGCATCTTGTACAAATATTTCTCAGACTTCACTGTGTGTAAGAATTGCTTGGGGCTCTTGTTTAAAAAAAAAAAAAAAATCAGAGTCCCAGACTTCAAACCCGTTCAGTCTGGAGTGGGGTCTAGGAATCTATAGTTAATGAAAGCAGGCATTTTTGGCTAGGCACAGTAGCTCACACCTGTAATCCCAGCACTTCGGGAGGCAGAGGTGGGAGGATCACTTGAGCTCAGGAGTTTAACACCAGCCTGGGCAACTAGACCCCTGTCTCTACAAATAAAAATGATTAGCCAGGCATGGTGGTGCACACCTGTGGGCCCAGCTACTCAGGAGGCTGAAGTGGGAGGATCACCTGAGCCCAGGAGTTTGAGGCTGCAATGAGCTATGATCACAGCACTCCACTCCAACCTGGGTGACAGAGTGAGGCCAGTCTCAAAAAAAAAAAAAAAAAAAGCAGGCATTTTTGATACAATATTTGTATTATCTGCTTAAGACAGTCAGTTTGCTTCCAAAGACTAAACCGAACTTCCACGAAACTCCTTTTGGCATAGACTGAGTCCAGAGCAAGGAGATCAGGTGGGTTTACATAGACAATGTAACAGTCAGATTTACCTCCTTTTCTCTTTCCCAGCCAGCGTGGGACCCGGTAGCAGAGGGTGTGGGGGGCGGGTGACAGTCTACCAAATATCTCTCTTCTTACGGGAACTCATAGAGGAAAACAGATTGGTCGAACGAACCAGTCATATTATGCAAAGCTCGTCCAAATCCTCTGGTTTCCTTAACTTGGCCAAGAAAAAGAGGAAGTTCTCCGAGTGACTCACAACTGTGGTGCTACTATGCCTTCTGACCCCATCTTGGACTTCATCTGGGAGAATGTGGAGGCATTTGAACAGGCTCCTTCTCTGGAGCGTATTTTCTTCTGTCACATGTAAGCTCCCCTTATTATTTTGAGGCTCGAACCTCTAAGCCTATGCGTCATGTGGAAAGTGAGCTTAATCGTGTTCCTTTTCTCTCAGGTAGAAGAGCTGTATTGGATTGTGAGGCAATGAAAACAAATGGTAAGTTTCACTTACTTCTTTCTTACCGAAACCATTTTCATTGAAGTGGTGAGACAGTCTGATTGCAACATGAGCGTCCATTCGAAAGTGTTTCTCAACTTTTATGAACAACCAAAGAATGGTCTTTTCAATTATCTATTACTTAAAATAAAATGATTTTAGGGAGGGGATTGCAGCGTTTTTTCCTGAGACTCAGTGACAAAATATTGAAATCGTTTTCACAATGAAAGTTTTCTAACTTTCCTTGTTATTGTTTTATGGTTGTTGTGTTTTAACTAGAAAGTCAACACACAGGCTGGGCGTGGTGCCTCAGGCCTGTAATCCCAGCACTTTGGGAGGCTAATGGGGTAGGATTGCTTGAGCTCAGGAGTTCGAAGCCAGCCTGAACAACACAGTGAGACCTCGTTTCTTTAAAAAAAAAAAAACAAAAAAAAACACCACAGAATTATTGTGAAATAATTCAAGCAACCCTAGAAATATACATTGGGAAGTGGTCTAACTCTGGTTCTACTAGTTACTAGCCAGCAGCCTGAGCTTATGACATACCCGACTTTGACCTTAATTATTTCTTTCTTTTTGTTTTTAGACGGAGTCTTGCTCTGTCGCCCAGGCTGGAGTCAGTGGCGCGAGCTCGGCTCACTGCGACCTCCGCCTCCTGGTTTCAAGGGATCCTCCTGCCTCAGCCTACCGAGTAGCTGGGATTACAGGTGCCACCATGCCTGACTAATTTTTGTATTGTTTTTTTGGTAGAGATGGGGTTTCACCATGTTGGCCAAGCTGTTCTTGAACTCTTGACCTCGTGATCCTCCCACCTCGGCCTCCCAAAGTGCTGGGGTTACAGGCATGAGCTACTACACCCAGCCTCAGTTCCTCTTTTTCAACAGCTGCATGGTATTTTAAGACTCAGCCATGATTCTTTCAACCATCCTTATTTATTGTTCCACTTTTTGGGGGCAATATAAACAATGCTACACTAAACATCCTTGTACAAAACATCCTTTATGGATGCTTGAGAGCTTGAAAGCATCTCTGTAGAATGAAATTCTAGAATTGAAATTGCAAGGTCAGAGGGCATACACATTTAAATTGTTACAGACCCTGCTAAGTTGCCTTCCCAACAAGGCTGATCATATCCTATCCGTCACCAACGGTGGATGAGTTTCCTCACCTATTCCCCAATGGTTGATATAATCACTTTTACTTTTTAATTTTATTTAGGGTTTTTTTTTCTTTCTTTCTTTGAGACAGAGTCTCTGCTCTGTTGCCCAGACTGGAGCGCAGTGGTGCAATCTCAGCTTTCTGCAGCCTTGACCTTCCAAGCTCAATTGATCCTCCCGCTTCCACTGCCTCCCAAGTAGTGCTATACAGGTGTACGCCACCATGCCCAGCTAATTTTTGTATTTTTAGTAGAGGCAGGGTTTCACCATTTGCCCAGGCTGGTCTCGAACTCCTAGACTCAAGAGATCTGCCTGCCTCGGCCTCCCAGATTGCTGAGATTACAGGCGTGAGCCACCGTGCCCGGCCAATCATTTTTAAAATTTGTGCCAATCTGATGAGCGAAAAATGATATCTCAGTGTTGTTTTAATTTGTAGTTGCCTCATCACTTGTGAAGTTGAGCATCTTTTTTCATGTTTACTGGCCACAAATGCTCTAGCGTTCCTATGTTAGAAAAAACTTAGGGTTGGCTATTTGGTTGGAAAGGTAGTTTAGGTCTTGTCTTAAAGTTGAGTTTATATGGCGGGGCACAGTGACTCACACCTGTAATCCCGGCACTGTGGGAGGCTGAGGTAGGCAGTCACTTGAGGTCAGGAGTTCGAGACCAACCTGGCCAACATGGTGAAACCCTGTCTCTACCAAAACTACAAAACTTAGCTGGGCATGGTGACATGTGCCTATCGTCCCAGCTGCTCAGGAGGCTGAGGCAGGAGGATCAGTTGAGCCTGGAAGGTCGAGGCTGTGGTAAGTCAAGATCATGCCACTGCACTGCAGCCTGGGCAATAGAGTGAGACTCTGTCTCAAAAAAAAAAAAAAAAAAAAAGTTGAGTTTATATAAGACTGAGAAAATGTTAATTGTCCAGATCAAAGAGTGGGAGAAGAGTTTATTGCATTTTTAAAAGCATTTTTGAAGAGTCTAAATCTGTCTTCCACCCAAGCCATCCACTGGTCCCAGCTATGTTTTGTTTGTTCTGTTTTGCTTTCTAAAAATTAGAGATGAGATCTCTCTATGTTGCCCAGGCTGTTCTCGAACTCCTGACCTCAAGCGATCCTTCCACCACAGCCTTCCAAAGTGCTAGGATTATAGGCGTGAACCACCACACCCAGCTTCAATAACTTTTTGTTTATTTTTTATTTTTATTTTTGAAATAGTATTACTCTGTTGCCCAGGCTGGAGTGCAGTGGCATGATCTTGGCTCACTGCAACCTCCACCTTCCGGGTTCAAGCAATTCTCCTGCCTCGGCCTCCTGAGTAGCTGGGATTACAGGTGCCCGCCAATGTGCTGGCTAATTTTTGTATTTTTAGTAGAGACAGGGTTTTGCCATGTTGCCCAGGCTGGTCTCGAACTCATGGCCTCAAGTGATCCACCTGCCTTGGCCTCCCAAAGTGCTGGGATTACAGGCGTGAGCCACCTTGCCCAGCCAGGATCTTAACAAGGACTTTTTCTTGTGTTATTTTGTTTTTCAGAATTCCCTTCTCCATGTTTGGACTCGAAGACTAATGTGGTTATGAAGGGTCAAAATGTATCTATGTTTTGCTCCCATAAGAACAAATCACTGCAGATCACCTATTCATTGTTTCGACATAAGACACACCTGGGAACCCAGAATGGAAAAGGTGAACCTGCAGTTTTTAACCTAAGCATCACAGAAGCCCATGAATCAGGCCCCTACAAATGCAAAGCCCAAGTTTACAGCTGTTCAAAATACAGCCGTGACTTCAACTTCACAATTGTCGGTAAGTAGAGCACCTGTTCCTTGGAGCCCTATAATTTATAGGGTCTTTTCTGGTTCTATGAGGGGCTCTCCATGACCCTTGTGAACACTTAACAACCTGGAAAGTATGTTACTGCGATCTTTATTCTTTTTTTATTTTTAATTTATTTTTAGACCTGGTCAACAGGAAGTATTTTTAATTTTTTAATTTTTGAGATCTGTATTCTTTTTTTTTTTTTTTTTTGAAACAGAGTCTCACTCTGCTGCCCAGGCTGGAGTACAGTGGTACAATCTTGGTCCACTGCAACCTCCGCCTCCCGGGTTCAAGGCATTCTCCTGCCTCAGCCTCCCAAGTAGCTGGGATTATAGGCACCCATCACCACACCTGGCTAATTTTTGTATTTTTACTTGAGACGAGGTTTCACCATGTTGGTCAGGCTGATCTCGAACTCCTGACATCAGGTGATCCGCCTGCCTCAGCCTCCCAAAGTGCTGGGATTACAGGGGTGAGCCACTGCGCCCAGTGAGTTCTCTATTCTTAATAATTCCATTTCACCTTCTCTTTCAAAGACTTTCGACCATGTCAGGTAATAGTCTTATATCTTTAGGCAAAAGTCTTATATCTCAACAATAATTGTTGAGGTCTTTTCTAGGAACTTTATTCTGTGATTCCCATTGTGTGGGCAAAAATCACTTTTTTTTTTTTTCTGAAGCCTTGGGCCCCATGGAGAGGGTCTTCAAAGCCCCAGGCCTTTCCCACCGCTTCCTTAGTGTCCGGGGCGGCTCTGCTAGCACTCACTGCTATGTTTTTCTGTCCCATTTTCCCATCCCAAGCTTGTTACTGCCTAGCATTAAGGGCCTCATCTGTGAAGGTGACCTTGATAATGGACTCCTGGGAGAGGAGAAAGTCTTCTAGGAAACATGTATGTTACACCTGGAGTCTTCAAAGCACAGGGACCCTGACTTCCTGAGAACTCTTGAGTGGTCCTCTATGTCTATGCTATCCAGTATGATACTGTTTAAATTTGTTTATTTTGTTTTATTTTCTTTCTTTCTTTTTTTTTTTTGAGATGGAATCTCGCCCTGTCACCCAGGCTGGAGTGCAGTGGCATGATCTCAGCTCATTGCAACTTCTGCCTTTTGGGTTCAAGTAATTCTCCCACCTCAGCCTCCCAAGTGGCTGGGATTACAGGCGTGCACCACCACATCCAGCTAATTTTTGTATTTTTAATAGAGATGGGGTTTCACCATGTTGACCAGGCTGGTCTTGAACTCCTGACCTCAGGTGATCCACCCACCTCAGCCTCCCAAAGTGCTGGGATTACAGGCGTGTGCCACCGCTCCTGGCCAAAATTTATTAATTTAACAGCCTATGTCACCCAGGCTGGAGTGCAGAGGCTACTCACAGGAAATTAAAGTCCACCACAGCCTCAAACTCCTGTTCTTAAGAGATCCTCCCACCTCAGCATCCTGAATAGCTGAGATTACAAGCACATGCCATAATTGAAATCAAGTTAATGAAAATTAGATGAAATAAAAAATTTCACTCCACAGTCTCATTAGTTACATTTCAAGGCTTTGGTAGCCACACCTGTAACTGGTGGCCGCCATGTTAGACAACACAGATGTAGACCATTCCCATCATCACAGAAAGTTCTACATTGCTATAGCTCAGTGATTCTTAGCTTTTTAGGTTATAACTGTCTTAATAATCTAATGATAGCAATGAATACCTTCTCCAGAGAAATATTCATAAAACTGCAGATACAAATTTCTGCATAAGGTTGTAGAGGATGCTACGGACTCCAGGTCAGAACCCATTATCTTGGCCAGGTGCAGTGGCTCACAGGTGTAATCTCAGCACTTTGGGAGACTGAGGTGGGAGGATCACCTGAGCCCAGGAGTTTGAGACCAGCCTGGGCATTATATGGAGACCATGTGTCTACAAAAAGTTAAAAAATACATATATGTAACTGAGCATGGTGGCGTGTCTATAGTGCCAACTACTCAGGAGGCTGAGTTGGGAGGATTGCCTCAGCTCAGGAGTTCAAGGCTGCAGTGAGCTGTGATTGCACCACCGCACACCAGCCTGGGTGACAGAGAGAGACCCTGTCTCAAGAAAAAAAAAAATCCCAATGATCTTTGGACATAAACTGAGTATATTGCTTGTGAAAGGAAAAGGAAGAAGGAGGGGGAAAATCCCTGCAAACATGGTACTGGAATATGATGGATATGTGAGGGCACGAACATAGCTGATGGTATGACTCCTGCTGCGCTGGGCGATAAGGCCATCAGTGCATATGTTTTCTGTGCACGACCTTCCTGCAATTTGTTAGGTAATTACACAGTCCAGTAATAAAACTATCTTGGTAGATTATAAAACTGTATTATCTTCAGTTAGGGCAGATCAATAGGCACTACTGAGTACCTATTCCGTGCAAGCAGTTGTACTACTGGGTTTTTAATGAGGCCTAAAACACAGTGTTGTCCCCAAGCCAGTCAAGGTTGAAACTATGAGCCATAAACACAAATTCATTAACCACTGATTCACTCATCAATTTTTTATTTTTTATTTTTTTGAGACAGAGTCTTGCTCTGTCGCCCAGGCTGGAGTGCAGTGGTGCCATCTCAGCTCACTGCAAGCTCTGCCTCCCGAGTTCACGCCATTCTCCTGCCTCAGCCTCCCTAGTAGCTGGGACTATAGGCACCCCCTACCACGCCTGGCTAATTTTTTTTTTTTTTTTTTTTGTATTTTTACTGGAGACGGAGTTTCACCATGTTAGCCAGGATGGTTCAATGTCCTGATCTCGAGAACCGCCTGCCTCGGCCTCCCAAAGTGCTCACTCATCAAATATTTAAAGAGAACACAGGGCCGGCTGCGGTGGCTCACGCCTGTAATCCCAGCACTTTGGGAGGTCTAGTGGGGGCAGATCACTTGAGGTCAGTAGTTCAAGTGATGGCCAACATGGTGAAACCCTATCTGTACTAAAAATACAAAAATTAGCCAGGCATGGTGGTGGGCACCTGTAATCCCCAGCTACTTGGGAGGCTGAGGCAGGAGAGTTGCTTGAACCTGGGAGATAGAGGTTGCAATGAGCCGAGACCGTGCCACTGCACTCCAGCCTGGACAACAGAGTGAGACTCCATCTCAAAACAAAAAAGAAAGTACATTTTTTTAAAAAAATTGTTTTTAAGTATGGACTCTTGAAGTCAGTGCTGACTGAGCCATTTACTAGCTGTGTGACGTTGGGCAAATTTCTCAATCTCTCTGAAGCACAGTTGGTTCATCTGTGGAATGGGTATGATACTATCCACACTGCAGGACTGTCGTGAAGGTCAAATGAGATCATGTGAATGGCATGCCTGGCACATGATAGATACGTAACAACTTTTCTTCCTTTCCTATAATACTGTCTTATTAATACATATATAATAAAATGTATAGCTGGGTTTTTCTGTTAGGTTATAGAATAGGCTCTGATCTAACAGAGTGTAGCAGACTCATTTCCTGTTGAGAGTTTCTCTTGAATCTAGCTAGCAGGGTTACTCCTGCTCTTTGGAGGAAGTGAAAAATAATTGTGCAGCTGAGTTCTATAAATAAAAGTACTGTTAGAGAAAACGATATTTTTGGGGCTGGGCGTGGTGGCTCACACCTCAAATCCCAGCACTTTGGGAGGCTGAGGTGGGAAAATCACTCGAAGCCAAGAGTTTGAGACCAGCCTGGGCAACATAGCGAGACCCTGTCTCCACAAAACATTTAAAAATTAGCCAGCAGTGTGCACCTATAGTCCCAGCTTCAGGGGAGGCTGAGGCAGGAGGATCACTTGAGCCCGGGAGTTTGAGGTTACAGTGAGCTATAATTGTGTCACTTCACTCCAGCATGGTTGACAGAGCAAGACCCTGTCTCCGAATAAATAAATACATTGAAAAGAAAATGATATTTTTGGATTAAAAAATCCCACTGTAAATTTACAAGGAATGAGAATAAAAGCACATCTTGGGCCGAGTGTGGTGGCTTCTGCCTATAACCCCAGCACTTTGGGAATTCAAGGTGGGAGGATCACTTGAGGCCAGGAGTTCAAGACCGACCTGACCAACATGGTAAGACCCTATGTCTATAAAAAATAAACATAAAAATCCACTTCTCAACTTCATACTTAGAACTGGATCATTGACAAAATTATATTCATTATTAACAATAAATAGATTGTGAATTCTAGGAAGGGCAACCTTGTACCCCAATTCCTCAAAGCAGAGAGATACCCTCCACTCTCTGACTTTCTCAGCACTGGGCTGAGAACCTCGGCTAACCCCACACTGCACGAGGTTGGCCACAGGCCCATTGGCCTTTCCCAGTGGGCCGTGAGCTTCTTGACTTCTCAGGAAGGGGGTCGTTCATCTTGGTTCCACAGCCTGGAATGGAGTAAGGGTTCCACCCATATTTGTGGTCTGAGTGAGCGTGCCCAGTCTGTTTATCCTTTTCATGTTCACTTTCATTCTTCCAGACCCGGTGACTGCCCCAGTGCTGAACATTACGGTCATTCAAACAGAAACACACCGACATATAACATTACATTGCCTCTCAGTCAATGGCTCACTGCCCATCAATTACACTTTCTTTGAAAAGCATATTGCCATATCACCAGCTATTTCCAAGTACGACAGGGAGTCTGCTGAATTTAAGTTAACCAGGAAGAATCCTGGAGAAGAGGAAGAGTATAGGTGTGAAGCTACAAACAGATTGCCTGACTATGCAGCATCCAGTCAAACTATCACCATGCCCTCAACAGGTAAGAGCGACCTGAGCTCTTTCAGCCAGGTCTGAACTTGCTTCCAGAAACTGCAGCTGCTCCTCTGCCCACCCATTTCCCACCGCGGTCACCTGCTTCCGCATGGAGGGTCCCTATGATAGAGTCCACGCAAACTCTCATGGGGTTGCTTTCTGCCATAAAGGAACCATAGAAAGGCCTAGAAGCTGGAGTAGGAGGGGGACTTGTGGCGAAACTTTCTGCCCTCCCCTTCCAATTTGCACCTCTCTTGGAACTGCCAGGTCGGTTTTCTTTGTTTTTTTGTTTTTGTCATGTTGTATGCCTTTCTTTCTTTCTTTCCTTCCTTCCTTCCTTCCTTCCTTCCTTCCTTCCTTCCTTCCTTCCTTCCTTCCTTCCTTCCTTCCTTCCTTCCTTCTTTCCTTCCTTCTTTCCTTCCCTCCCTCCCTCCCTCCCTCCCTCCCTCCCTCCCTCCCTCCTTCCTTCCTTCCTTCCTTCCTTTTTTTTTACTTTTTTTTTTCGTTGAGACAGAATGTCACTCTGTCACCCAGGCTGGAGTGCAGTGCTGCAATCTTGGCTCATTGCAACCTCTGCCTCGCAGGTTCTAGAGATTCTCGTGCCTCAGCCTCCTGAGTAGCTGGGACTACAGGCACCCGCCACTACACTTGGTTAATTTCTGTATTTTCAGTAGAGATGGGTTTCACCATGTTGGCCAGGCTGGTCTCAAACTCCTGGCCTCAAGTGATCTGCCCACCTCGGCCTCCCAAAGTGCTGGGATAACAGGCGTGAGCCACTGCGCCTGGCCGTCTTATACTGATTTCTAATACCCATGCCTTCCTGCTTGGCTGTTTGTTGCTCCACTGCTAACAATGGTGAGTCCAGACTCCTGCACCACCCTTGGCTCAGGGCAAGAGGCGCCCCTGGCCAAGCTCTGTGTTTGGAGGGCTCTGGTCTGGTACCTCCGGGCTATGTACCTTCCCCTAGGCTGAGGGGTTCAGGGAGCCATGGGGATGCACCCACCTGGACCCTATACTCCCACCTTTCTGCTCCACACTCTGGACCTAGATCCCCTGCCCAATCAGATCAGAACCCATTTCTAGGGCCTGTACCAGTCTCTCCCCCAGCTCATCCTCCCGAGGGTGGCCCACAGTGAGGGTATGAGCATCCCTGGACCTGAGCCAAGGGAGCTGTTTATGGGGGGTGTGGATGGTGTCTGCACATGTGGGCTGGGGCGTCCACGTGCATGCAAGGCCCCTTAGGGTGCAGGTCAGAGCCCAGGTGGGAAGTGGGGCAGCCCGGGACTTCCGTGGGTTCGGTCTATACTGCCATGTCCTGATGCCAAACTCTGGAAAGCCTGAGAATTCCAGATTCAAACCTGACCTTCCAGGTCCTTCTGAGGGTGCATTTGTCAAGGTAGAAGGATAGAAGGAAAACTAGGTCATGTGCAGTGACTCACACCTGTAATCCCAGCACTTTGGAAGGTTGTGACTGGCAGATCACTTGAGCCCAGGAGTTTGAGACCAGTCTGGGCAACATGGCAAAACCCCTGTCTCTACAGAAAATAAAAAAAATTAGCCGGGTGTGGTGGTGCATGCCTGTGGTCTCAGCTACTGGGAGGATGAGGTAGGAGGATTGCTTGAGCCTGAGAGGTGGAGGCTGCAGTGAGCTATGATCATCGTGCCCTGCACTCCAGCCTGCACAACAGAGCGAGACCCTGTCTCAAAGAAAAAAGAAAAAGAAAGAAAAGAAAAACTAGGTTAGCAAAGGCACAAGGCATGCTTGGACATTGACCACTCCAGCCAGCCACATCCTCAGAACAGAACCTACGCCCTGGTATTCAGTGAGGGTGGTCTAACAAGTGAGGCAGCCTGCTGGAGTCAGGCATTTGGCTATGAGTCACAGCCCTTCCATGCACTGGCTGTGTGACCTTAGGAAAGTCATTTCACCTCCCTGAGCCTTACTCACCTCATCTATAAAATGGGAATGATGCCAACAGGATAAGTAAGACAACACAGGCTAAGTGCCTAACACAGTGCCTGGCCTGCAGCTAAAACTCAAAAACTGGCAGCTGTTTGGATGACACGAAACATGCTGCCAGGGCTCAGGGCCTCGCCCAGTAAACACCCAGGCTTTTCTGGTGCTCATGACCCCAGAAACGTTGCTTTTCTCTTCTTTGGATGACCACTGTGGAAGATGTGCTTGCTCATGACTTTTTAAACTTTATTATTTTTACTTATTTTATTATTTATTTATTTATTTTGAGATGGAGTCTCACCCAGTCTGGAGTGCAATGGCATGATCTCGGCTCACTGCAACCTCTGCCTCCCGGGTTCAAGTGATTCTCACGCCTCAGCCTCCCAAGTAGCTGGAACTACAGGCACATGCCACCAGGCCCAGCTAATTTTTGTATTTTGGGTAGAGATGGGGTTTCACCATGTTGGCCAGGCTGGTCTTGAACTCCTGACCTCGGGTGATCTACCCGCCTTGACCTCCCAAAGTGCTAGGATTACAGGTGTGAGCCACTGCACCCGGGCTATTTTTATTTATTTCTTAACTTATTTATTTATTGAGACAGGGTCTGGTTCTGTCACTCAGGCTGGAGTGCAGTGCCACAGTCGTAGCTCACTGCAGCCTCCACCTCCTGGGGTCAAGCGATTCCCCCTGCCTCAGCCTCCTGAGTAGCTGAGATCATAGGCACATGCCATCACACCTGGCTAATTTTTATGTATTTATTTATTTTGTAGAAACAAGGGCCTCACTATGTTGCCCAGGCTGGTCTCAAACTCCTGGCCTCAAGTGATCCTCCGTCCTTGATCTCCGAAAGTGCTGGGATTACAGGTGTGAGCCACCACACCTGGTCAAGAACTTTATTGACTAATAAGTCCCATAAGTGCAGATGTCATGACCATTTGGGAACCTGGGTGCATAGTATGTTGGTTAACATCACCTTTTCTAAAACACTTACTGGCTTAACGTCATTGGCAAATAAAATGCTATGGTCACCAGTGGATGCTGTCTTCTTCCAGGCGGAGACAGCTGTCCTTTCTGTTTGAAGCTACTGCTTCCGGGGTTATTACTGCTGCTGCTGGTGATAATCCTAATTCTGGCTTTTTGGATACTGCCCAAATACAAAGCAAGTAAGTTCTTTTAGTCGCTTTACCACCGTTTTCCCATGGGTTTGGGATACAGACAGCAGGGCAGAGGGTGAGGAGAAAGAGAAAAAGGGGATTGGAAATAGAATAGGGAGAAAATGAAAACAGGAGGAAAAGATGAGAAAGGGGAGCGGGAATGGAACAGACTTCCTGAATGGTAATGCAGAGGGTAATTCTTTCTCCAGGGAAAGCCTTTTCTGATTGAGGGCAAGCAGAGCTGGCTTCACAGACGTGCAGCCTGTGCAGTCACACAGGGCCCTGTGCTGAGAAGAACTCCACATTTGGTATTTATTTATTTATTTGTTTGTTTGTTTGTTTATTTTTGAGACAGAGTTTTGCCCTTGTTGCCCAGGCTGGAGTGCAGTGGTGCGATCTCAGCTCACTGCAGCTTCCGCCTCCTGGGTTCAAGCAATTCTCCTGCCTCAGGCTTCCAAGAAGCTGGGATTACAGGTGTCCACCACCACATCCAGCTAATTTTTTTGTATTTTTAGAAGAGACAGGGTTTCACCATGTGAGCCAGGCTGGTCTCGAACTCCTGGCCTCAGGTGATCCACCCACCTCAGCTTCCCAAAGTGCTGGGATTGCAGGCGTGAGCCACTGCTCCTGGCCACGTCTTGAAATTCTTAATAATTTTTTGTACTCTTTTAAAAATTGTTAATGGTGGTAAAATATACATAACACTAAATTGGCCACTTTAAACCATGTTTAAATGTATAGTTTAAACGGTGGCATTAAGCACGTTCCCATTGTCATGCACCCTTCTCCACCATCCACGTCCGGAACTTTTTCATCTTCCCAAACTGAAACTCTGTCCCCATTATGCACTAGCTCCCTATCCCTTCTTCCCCCAGGCTCTGCCAACCGCTCTTCTGCTTTCTATCTCTATTAGTTTGACTCCTCCAGGCACCTCATAGAAGTGGAAGCATTTGTCCTTTCATAACTGGCTTATTTCACTTCGATTAATGTCCTCAAGGTTCATCCATGTTGTCGTATGTGTCAGAATTTCCTTCCTTGATAAGGCTGAAGAATGCCCCATTGTACATAAGTATACCATACCTTGTTTATCCATTTATCCCTCATGGGTGCCCGTGTTGCTTCCACCTTTTGTCTATTGTTTAATAATGCTAGGAACGTGGGTGTGCAATTATTAATGTTTTTAAACAAGAGGCCCTTTTCTCTTCTTTGTATGTCTTCTTGTGAAAGACATACTTGGTCATGACTTTAAGAACTTGTGTTCCTTTCTCTCTCTCTCTCTCTCTTATTTTTTTATTCTATATTAAATAGAGACGGGGCCTCACTATGTTGCTCAGGCTGGTCTTGAACTCTTGGGCTCAAGCAATCCTCCCCCCTCGGCCTCCCAAAGTGTTGGGATTACAGGCGTCAGCCACTGTGTCGGGCCAAGAACTTGTGTTCTTAATTAAACACAAGTTTAAGGCATGTGAACAGTGTTCGTTTCGCCCTGGGCGCTGCAAGTGGTGCGGCTGCTCCTGATTGCAAGTACCTCAAGCAAGAGCTTTGCCTCGTGCGACTCTAGATCTGCCACATACGTAGGGGAGGCTCAGTGCATGAGGACAAGCAAGCGTCATCCCATTAGCACAAAAGACACCTTCAAAAGGTTTACAATTGTTTGGGGCTGGAAGTATTAAAAATATTAGGTTGGTGCATAAGTAATTGCAATTTTTGCCATTACATTTATGGCAAAACCCGCAATTACTTTTTTTTCTTTTTTTTGGAAGTGGAGTCTTGCTCTGTTGCCCAGGCTGGAGTGCAGTGGTGCAGTCTCGGCTCACAGCAGCCTCTGTCTCCCTGGTTCAAGTGATTCTCCTGCCTCAGCCTCCTGAGTAGCTGGGATTACAGGCGCCCATCACCATGTATTTTTAGTAAAGACAGGGTTTCACCATGTTGATCAGGTTGGTCTTGAACTCCTGACCTCAGGTGATCTGCCCGCCTGAGCCTCCCAGAGTGCTGGGATTACAGACGTGAGCCATTATGTCCGGCCCATAATTACTTTTGCACCAACCTAATATATATATTTTTTTTCTTTCTACATTTCTATGCTTTCTAGATTTTCAATGTAAAAGTATAATCTATTCTACTATAAGATTTTTTTTTTTAAAAAACCTTATTAAACACACCAGACTCAAAAAAAACAAAAACAGAAACAAAAAAGCATCATTTCTCTCTTCCCCACCTTAAGTGCTTCATCCAGCAGAAAACTTGTCAATGTTATTAGAAGAATCAGTTACAGCTTTTTTTTAAAAAAACGTTTTTTAGAGACGGGGGTCTCACTATGTTGCCTAGGCTGGTCTTGAACTCCTGGACTCAAGCGATCCTCCCACCTCAGCCTCCCAAAGTGCTGGGATTACAGGCATGAGCCACTGTACTCAGCCCACTTACTGCTTTTCATTCCTCACGTCTTATGGCCACCGCTGGTTAAGACTTCAAAGTGGTTTTTTCATTTGGCACACGAGTGCGGAAGGATATGAAGATTTACACAAAAGACAGTTTGTGTCTCAGCACTGGTGCCCATCAGCAAGCTGAGGGCTGTTGGACAAGCCCCTCAGGCTGTTGCTTCTGAGTCTCAGTGTTCTGACTTGTGGAATGGGCCGTGGAGATATTGTCAGAACTGGCAAGAGAACCAGTTGAGAACCATCTCCAGAGAGTCACAACTCAGAGAAGTCAGGGACTCAGCTGACATAAAACTTGACCACAGAGGTCACGAGTTATACATCTGATGCATCTTTAAGATTTTATTTTATTTCATTTCATTTTTTAACAGATGGGGCCTCACTCTGTTGCCCAGGCTAAAGTGCACTGGCACAATCTCTGCTCACTGCAACCTCCACCTCCCGGGTTCAAGCGATTCTCCTGCCTCAGCATCCCAAGTAGCTGGGATTACAGGTGCCCGCCACCATGCTCGGCTAATTTTTGTATTTTTAGTAGAGACCGGGTTTCACTATGTTGGCCAGGCTGGTCTTGAACTCCTGACCTCGTGATCTGCCTATCTCGGCCACCCAAAGTGCTGGAGCTGGGATTACAGCTGGGGCTGTAATCCCATACATGTGTGTGTATATATATATGTATATGTATATATGTGTGTGTGTATATGTGTGTGTGTGTGTGTATATATATTTTTGTTTGTTTGTTTGTTTGTTTGAGACAGGATCTCACTTCTATCACCTGAGGCTGGAGTGCAGTGGTGCAATCATGGCTCCTGCAACCTCGACCTCCCAGGCCTCCTCCTGCCTCAGCTACCTGAGTAGCTGGGACCACAGGCACGCACCATGCTCGGCTAATTTTTTTTTTTTTTTTTTTGTAGGTTTCACCATGTTGCCCAGGCTAGTCTTGAACTCCTGGACTCAAATCATCCTCCTGCCTCAGCCTCCCAAAGTGCTGGGATTACAGTATTTTTTTTTTAATTACAAAATTCTTTTTAGAGACAATGTCTCACTATGTTCCCCAGGCTGGTCTTGAATTCCTGGCCTCAAGTGATCCTCCCACCTCAGCTTCCCAAAGCACTGGGATTACAGGCGTGAGCCACTGCACCCTGGCCCACATCTCATATGTCTTAAAAACATATTTCTCATTCCTATAAAAAGTCCAGGTTATTGCAAAAGTGGCATTAATATTTTTGATTACTGGCTGGAGCTAACAATAGAATTCAGCGAGGCTGGCCAGGCACAGTGGCTCATGCCTATAATCCCAGCATTTTGATCACCTGAAGTCAGGAGTTTGAGACCAGCCTGGCCAACATGGTGAAGCCCCACCTCTACTAAAAATACAAAAAATTAGCTGGGTATGGTGGCACATGCCTGTAATCCCAGCTACTCGGGAGGCTGAGGCAGGAAAATTGCTTGAAACCAGGAGGCACAGGTTGCAGTGAGTGGAGATTGCACCATGGCACTCCAGCCTGGGCCACAAAGTGAGACTCTGTCTTAAAAAAAAAAAAAAAAAGAATTCAGTAGGCCATTTACACTCTCTTGAAGATATTACAAAGCTTCCACAGAATATTCTCTTCAGCAAAGGAAAGAAAATAAGTCTGGCTAGTTCAGGCATAATCTGATAGGTAAAGCATGTTCCTCTGAAAGCCAGGAAAATAAATCAGAACAGCCCCTGGCTTGGTGAAGCCATGTCTAGACTCCCTGCTGAGTCTATAGTATTCCTTTGTTAGACAACAGTTTGGGTCATTGGAACAAGTCACTCCTTGTTTCAGAACTTTGGGGAGTTCTGCTTCTTGGCTGAGGAGATGAGAGAAATGTGGCTGAATTGTTTTAATTTAATGATTCTGTACCGATTTATGTAGGAAAAGCTATGAGAAATAATGTGCCCAGGGACTGTGGAGACACAGCTGTGGAAGTTGGAATCTATGCAAATATCCATGGAAAACAAGCAAGTAAGAGAACTTTGTTGCGTGTTTTGGGTGGTTTCAGGTTTTTGTCTTTTGATTTTGTTAAGGTTGACAGATGTACAGGAGTGGGGGGTGGAGCAAAAGGGATAGAGTTCAATGTCTATTGATGCCCAGTCCCACTTTCTAGGGGTAAAAACTAGTTTTTTAAAAATCCTTCCACAGATATTCTATGTGTATAATAAACAAATGGTAGCAATTGTAGCATATTGTAGGTATGACTTTCTATACCTTGATTTTTTTTTTTTCATGTAACAACATATCTTGAAGATTTTTGACATCTGTTCAGAATGATCCGCACTGTGTTTCACAGTCTTTCATGGTCACCTCTCAAAGCAGGCACTGCACATTGCTTTGCAGTAAACAAGACCCAACGCCTTGGCTGATGTATTAGTCCATTCTCTTGCTATTATAAGGACATACCTGAGATGGGGTAATTTATAAAGGAAAGAGGTTTAATTGACTCACAGTTCCGCAGGGCTTGGGAGGCCTCAGGAAACTTACAATCATGGTAGAAGGGGAAGCAAACACATCCTTCTTCACAAGGCAGCAGGAGAGAGAAGAATGAGAGCCAAGGGAAGGGGGAAAAACCTTATAAAACCATCAGATCTTGTGAGAACTAACTCACTATCACTAGAACAGTATGACAGAAACCACCCCCATGATTTAATTATCTCCACCTGGTCCCTCCCATGACACGTGGGGTTTGTGGGGACTACAATTCAAGATGTGATTTGGGTGAGGACACAGCCAAACCCTATCATCAGCTGACAATGGAACAATCTCAGCCAACATGACCACATTCCAGACGCAGTGCTGAGTTATTTACCCACCTTTTCTAGCACAAATACTACCAACCCCCAATTTATGTCATTCTCACTTTACAGAGGAGGGATCTGTCCCAGAAGTGGGATCCAGACCATGTGTTTCCATAGCCCGTGTTCTGCAGAGTCTATCCCACTGCCCTCATGTGCTTAGAAATTCAGATAATTGGCCCAATAACTCCTATTCCTTATCTTTTGCCCAGAGGCCGAACATTCCCAGGAGCTACAGTATGCCACCCCCGTGTTCCGGGAGGTGGCACCAAGAGAGCAAGGTGAGCCACAGCTTGGGATAAGAGATAAGAGGTGCTGGTGACTAGAGACAGGTAGTCCCTGTGATGTCACCACACTCAGACGCTTCAGGAGCCTGAGAATGGGGTGGACGCGAGCAATGCAGGCACACCATAAGGAACCAATGGCAACCAGCACCCTAGCTCCTAAAACATCTCATCAGGGGATGGAGGGTGGGGAAGAGGGAAAGATGTGGTGGGGGAATGTCATAGAAAAAATCCAGAGAAAAGGATATAGGATCATTACTCAAACATTTCCTTCCTTTCCTCCCTCCTTCCCTCCCCGCTTCCTTCCTCCCTCCCTCCCTCCCTCCCTCCTTCCCTCCTTCCTTCCTTCCTTCCTTCCCTCCTTTCTTCCTGTCTTTCTTTCTTTTTCCTTCCTTTCTTCCATCCTTCATTCCTTCCTTCCTGTCTTTCTTTTACCTTCCCTCCCCTCCCCTCCCCTCCCCTCCCTTCCCCTCCCTTTCCTTTCCTTTCCTTTCCTTTCTCTCTCTCTCTTTCTTCCTTTCTTCCTTTTTCTTCCTTTCTTCCTTTCTTCCTTTCTTCCTTCCTTCCTTCCTTCCTTCCTTCCTTCCTTCCTTCCTTCCTTCCTTCTCTTTCTTTCTTTCTTTCTTTCTTTCTTTCTTTCTTTCTTTCTTTCTTCGCTGCCTTCGCGCAACAGCGCAACAACAACAACAACAGCAACAACAACAACAACAGCAACAAGCAACAACAATAACAACAACAACAACAACAACAACAACAACAACAACAACAACAACAACAACAACAACAACAATACAACAACCTTTTTTCTTTCTTTCTTTCCTGCCTTCTTTCTTTCTTTCTTTCTTTCTTTCTTTCTTTCTTTCTTTCTTTCTTTCTTTCTTTCTTTCTTTCTTTCTTTCTTTCTTCTTTCTTTCCTTTTTCTTTCTTTCTTTCCTGCCTTTCTTCTTTTTTTTTGAGACTCTCACTCTGTCACCCAGGCCAGAGTGCAGTGGCACAATTTCAGCTCACTGCACCCTCTACCTCTTGGGCTGAAGCAATCAACCCACCTCAAGCTCCTGAGTAGCGGGACGACAGGTGTGCACCATCATGTCTGACTAATTTTTTTTTTTTTTTTGGTAGAGACAGGTATCTTGCTATATCACCCAAGCTGGTCTCGAACTCCTGGGCTTGACCAATCTTCCTGCCTCAGCCTCCCAAAGTGTTGGGATTACAAGCATGAGGCATTATGCCCAGCTAACATTTTCAAGAATAAATTATTTAACATAGTCCAGGAAAAAATTAGTTAATACCTGGTTCTGTCAGGCCACCCAGCTACTAGAAATAGGATTTTTAAAAACAGCCTCGCCTGTCACATATCCTAAGTAAATTATTTTCCGTCTTATGTTTCAGAAGCCTGTGATTCTTATAAACCTGGATATGTCTATTCCGAACTCAACTTCTGAAATTTACAGAAACAAACTACATCTCAGGGTAAGATGCTTTTTATGAAGCTGATTTCCATGAACAAAAAGCAAACTTGAGGCTGAGGCAGGTGGATTACTTGAGGTCAGGAGTCTGAGACGAGCCTGGCCAACATGGCAAAAACCTGGTCTCTACTACAAATACAAAAATTAGTTGGGTGTGGTGGTGCGTGTGTGTAGTCCCAGCTACTCAGGAGGTTGAGGCAGGAGAATCACTTGAGCCTGGGAGGCAGAGGTTGCAGTGAACCAAGATCGTGCCACTGCACTACAGCCTGGGCGACAAGATGAGACTCCATCTCAAAAAAAAAAAAAAAAAAAGATGTTCATTAATGTTCATGATTTAGCTCACCCTCCAGATTTAACTAATGCCAAAGGTGTGCCTTGATGTGCTGCCTTTCCTGGTCACGTTCCAGGGAGAGAGTCCACGTTGTTGAGTTGTGGGGAGGGAGAATGTTTTAGTCCCCTAGGGCTGCTGCCACAAATGACCACAAATTGGTGGCTTAGAGCAACCATTTCACAGTTCTGGAGGCTAGAAGTCCAAAACCAAGGTGTCTGTAGAGCTGTGCTCCATCCAAAATTTCTTGGGGGGAGCCTCCTTGCCTCTTCCAGCTTCTGGGGCTCCAGACGTTGCTTGTGGTTGCCTCACTTCAACTTCTGCCTCTGTCTTCACATGGCCTTTTATGTTCTCTCTTGTCTCTCTCTTCTTCTTCTTCTTCTTCTTTTTTTTGAGATGGATTCTCACTCTGTTGCCCAGGCTGGAGTTCAGTGGCACGATCTCAGCTCAATTCAATCTCCACTTTCCTGATTCAAGTAATTCTCATGCCTCAGCCTCCCAAGTAGCTGGGATTACAGGCACCCCCCACCACACCCGGCTAATTTTTGTGTTTTTAGTAGAGATGGGGTTTCACCATAGTGGCCAGGCTGGTCTCGGACTCCTGACCTCAGATGATCCGCCTACCTCGGCCTCCCAAAGTGCTGGAATTACAAGTGTGAGCCAATGTGCCCGGCCCTGAATTGCTTTAGTAAAGAAAGGGTCTCCCAGAATAAATTCATCTGAACATGCACCCTTCTCTGAGCCTTCTGACTCTTCAATATTCTGCTCACACCTGTCTGGCATCTCCATGATATTTTCCACTGGTCACCACTGTCCAATAGAAATATAATGTCAGCCACATGGGCACACTTTTCACTCTTTCTAGTAGACACAATGACAAAATGAAAAGATGGCCGGGCATGGTGGCTCATGCCTATAATCCCAGCACTTTGGGAGGCTGAGGTGGGTGGATCACTTGAGGTCAGGAGTTCAAGAGCAGCTTGGCCATCATGGTGAAACCCCGTCTCTACTAAAAATACAAAAAAGTTAGCTGGGCGTAGTGGTGGGTGCTTGTAATTCCATCTACTTAGGAGGCTGACGCACAAGAATCGCTCAAACCTGGGAGGCGGAGGTTGCAGTGAGCCGAGATTGCACCACAGCACTCCAGCCTGGGCAACAGAGTGAGACCTGTGTTAAAAAAAGAAAGAAAAGAAGAAAAAAAAAGAGAAGGAAGGAAGGAAGAAAAGGAGAAAAGAAGAGAAACAGGCGAAATGAATTGGAATAATATATTTTATTTAACCCAGCATATCCAAAAATCCTATCATTTTAACAAGTACAACTACCCTATTTCCCTCAGAATGTAGTATTGCCTCTGGTTTGCTGTGGATCTCATATTAGACCACTCAGCTGTAGAGTCTTGTGGGATCCAAGCTTCAAGGAGACCCATCATGCATATTTAGGACCAGTTCCAGGTGTCCTTGACATGACGCTAAACCTCCATTTCCTTTTTCTTTTTTGGAGACGGAGTCTGGCTCTGTCGCCCAAGTTGGAGTGCAATGGTGCGATCTTGGCTCCCTGCGACCTCCACCTCCTGGGTTCAAGCGATTCTCCTGCCTCAGCCTCTCAAGTAGCTGGCATTACAAGCATGTGCCACCATCCCCGGCTAATTTTTGTATTTTTAGTAGAGACAGAGTTTCGCCATGTTGGCCAGGCTGGTCTTCAACTCCTGACCTCAAGTGATCCGCCCACCTCGGCCTCCCAAAGTGCTGGGATTACAGGCGTGAGTCATCTTGCCTGGCCCTCCATTTCCTGATGTAGTCTTAAATCCACATTCACTGCCTTAGCACGCTCAGACCCACGCTGCTGTGGGCTCCCCTGGCTCCTGGAGGAGTACACCTGCAGACGCTGCAGTCTTTGTGTGGCTCAGCATCAGGAACTGCCCTTCACGCGTCAGGCTCCGCTGAGACCCGACCCTGGTTATTAAGCTATAAGGGAGACAGGGGTGGATCTTAAAGAAGACAAGCAAAATGTAGTGAAGCAAATAAAATGGTGGTTCCCAGGGGCTGGGGTCCGGGGACAATTAGGAGTGACTGGCTAACGGGTACAGTGTTTCAGTTTGGGAAGACAAAAAAGTTCTGGAAAAAAGATGGAAAGTGGTGATGGTTGCACAATAATATGAGTTTTGTTTTTGTTGTTTTTTGAGACAGAGTCTCTTTCTGTCGCCCAGGCTGGAGTGCAGTGGTATGACCTTGGCTCACTGCAACCTCTGCCTCCCAGGTTCAAGCGATTCTTGTGCCTCAGCCTCCCGAGTAGCTGGGATTACAGGCACCCACCACCACACCCAGTTAATTTTTGTATTTTTAGTAGAGATGAGGTTTCACCATGTTGGCCAGGCTGGTCTCAAACTGCTGACCTCAAGTGATTTGCCTGCCTCGGCCTTCCAAAGTGCTGGGATTACAGGTGTGAGCTATTGTGCTGGTCAATATGAATGAATGTTGTTAATCCCATTGAATTACACACATAAAATTGGTTAAAATGGTAAATTTTATGTTAGGTATAACTTACCACAATAATTTAAAAAATATTATGAGGCGCCTGCCTCATGTGAGGTCTTCGAAGAAGAGGGGCTGTTCTCCTTCTCAAGAGAGCTTGCGGGCTTTGGGAGTTTCATATTCTCAAATGTCCACATCCCAAGGCCCACCCAGCCCCAGTCAGTGTCAGAAATTAGCAGAACAGAACTGCTAGATGTGTTCATTCCATCTCCTCCTTGGTTGCCCCACCATTTTGATCAGATCCTGGAACTGGCTTTCAGCATAGTCTTCCAGCTGGCTGTGATAAATGAGGGTGGCTTAAACCCTATCCTTGGGGTTTCACAGCTTGCCCTGAACTGGTAGCCTCTCATTTTCTCCTTGCAAAGCTTCTAAGGCAGCTAAGAGAAGCCAACTAGCTTCACAATCCACATAATTAGCATTGCCCCAAACTTTTCAAGTGCTGGAATGCTGGCATTCACTGCCTCTTTTCTTTCTAAACCTCATTCCACATGGCAAGGGAAGGTCTTAGGAACTGTGGAGCTGTGGTGTGCTAAGGGTTCTCACTGCCTACCTATCACCAGCAAGGGAGTCCTTGTTGCCGTCCATTCCTAGGGGTTCATTTGTTCCCTGAGGCTGCTTTCTAGGGCCTTCTGGTCCCGTCTCTTATCCTGGACTAGACCTGAAAGCAGAGCCTGAAATAAGGCCTTCTGTGCAAATCATTTATGTAGGAGGTGGCCCTAGGAAGCAGGCCCAGTGCGCCACAGGAAAAGCCAGTACACGGTGTTTTGCTGAGTTGGGCACTGTGGTGGGCAGCTGGACGTGAGTCCACTGGAATCTTCTGAAGAGTCCAAGAGCCTCTTCTCAGTATTGTCCACTTGAGGATTGATAATGAGAGGTATTTATCCATTGGTGTCCAGCCCTCATTGGTTGAGGATCATCCCAGGAAGTGATACCTCCCCCACTTCTAGACTAGCATGTAGGTATTCCAAGCAGGCTTCCCTCAGTGTCTCACCCCAGGCACTGCAAACACCCCAGGACAGAAAGTGAACATGTGTATTATGCAGTTGAAGCAAGAAGCTATCAGTGTGAAATGAGTAGACCCTCAGATGCAGCTGGGTCAGAGGGAAGGCCCAGGAATATGATGCAGGACACAGAGGTGGCTGATACACCACCTCCCAACATTTCCTCTATCACAACAACTACAACAATGGCAACAATAGGGCTGGGTGTGGTGGCTCACGCCTATAATCCCAATACCCTGGGAGGCCAAGGCAGAAGGATTGCTTGAGCCCAGGAATTCAAGACTAGCCTGGGCAATGTGGCAAAATCCTGTCTCTACAAACAATACAAAAATTAGCCAGGCATCACTGCCACTAAAATTAGCATGTCTGCAGGCCCAGCTACTCAGGAGGCTGAGTTGGGAGGACTGCTTGAGCCTGGGAGGTCAAGGCTGCAGTGTACCACTGCACTCCAGCCTAGGCAAGAGAGTGAGGCCCTGTCTCAGTAGGTAAATAAATACATTAATTAATTAAAAATGACAACAATAATATATGTATTGAGCTTATAGCATGTTCCAGGTACTATTACTAAGTGCTTTGTGTGCCTGTCCTCATATAGTCCCACAATATCTCTTTGGGGCAGGTAAGTTTTTTCTTTTTCTTTTTCTTTTTTTTTGAGGCGGAGTTTTGCTCTTGTTCCCCAGGCTGGAGTGAAATGGCGTGATCTTGGCTCACTGCAACCTCTGCCTCCTGAGTTCAAGTGATTCTCTTGCCTCAGCCTCCTGAGCAGCTGGGACATGACACCACACCTGGCTAATTTTGTATTTTTAGTAGAGATGGGGTTCATCATGTTGGCCAGGCTGGTCTCGAACTCCTGATCTCAGGAGATCCACCTGCCTCAGCCTACCAAAGTGCTGGGATTACAGGTGTGAGCCACCATGCCTGGCCTGGGGCAGGTACTCTTATTTCCCTCTTTTCATACAAAAAGAAACTGACTCACAAGTTCATTCAGCTAACACCTGTTGGAAACAGGAAAGGAACTCAGATCTGAGTGACACCAGAGCCCACACTTCTTTTCTTCTTCTTCTTCATTTTTTTTTTTTGAGACAGGGGCTTACTCTCTTGCCCAGGCTGCAGTACAATGATGGGATCACAGCTCACTGCAGTCTTGACCTTCCTGGCTCAAGTAATTCTCCCACCTCAGCTTCCTGAGTACCTGGGACCACAGATATATACCACTACGCCTGGCTAATTTTTGTATTTTTTTAGAGACGGGGTTTTGCCACGTTGGCCAGGCTGGGCTCAAGCAATCCTCCCACCTCAGCCTTAAGCCCAGGCTTGAGCTACTGGGCTCAAGTAATCCTCCCATCTCAGCCTCCCAAAGTGTTGAGATTACAGGTATGAGCCACCACGCCAGGCCAAGCCCACACTTCTAACCACTACCTTGTTAACATTCCAGGATGGACAACTGGATATTGAGGGCTTATTGGATCAGAAAAGTCATCAGATCAGAATTATCAAGATCAGCAAGGATGCAGGGACCTGGGCCCACACACGCCCACTGAAGGATGCCCCTCTGTCAAGCGGCAAAGCCAATGGGAGGAAAGTGGGGGAGAGACCACCCAAACAGGCAGAAGGAAGCACCGTCATGCGTTGCTTAATGACAGAGAGAGGTTCTGACAAATGTGTGTCATTAGGCAATTCCACTGTGTGCACACCAGTGTATTTACACAAACCCAGATGGTATCCACTACTCCACACCTGGCTATATGGTAACCTGTTGCTCCTAGTCTACACACCTGAAGCCATGTTACTGTACTGAATGCTGGAGGCAATTGCAGCACAATGGTATTTTTGTATCTAAACACAGAAAAGGTGCAGTAAAAATATGGTATGATTTTAGGGGCCACTGTCACATACCTGGTTCGTGGTTGACTGAAACGTTGCTAGGCAGTGCGTGACTGCATCTGAAAAATGCATGCAGAGGAGGGCTGGGGATGGGCAATGGTTATGGACAAGGAGGTAGATTGTGGTGAGTGTTCAGGCCTGTGGGCAGGATTCATGATTGTGTGAGGCCAGGGGACATCCAGGCAGGCACAAGAACATATGTTGGCACACACAGGCCCTGGCCAGGTGGTAGAATCTTTTTTTTTTTTTTGAGACAGAGTCTCGCTCTGTCGCCCAGGTTGGAGAGTGCAGTGGCGTGATCTCGGCTCACTGCAACCTCTGCCTCCCAGGTTCAAGCGATTCCCCTACCTCAGCCTCCCGAATAGCTGGGATTACAGGCATGCACCACCACACCCAGCTAATTTTTGTGTTTTTGATAGAGATGAGCTTTCACCATGTTGGCCGGACTGGTCTTGAAATCTTGACCTCAAGTGATCCACCCACCTTGGCCTCCCAAAGTGCTGGGATTACAGGTGTGAGCCACCGCACCCGGCCAGGTGGCAGAATCTTGACTCCAAGAGAGTTCTGACAAAAGAAATAAAATATCATTGCCTTGAAATAATATTTAACGTTTTAAAGGTAAGCTTTTTCCATACGCACTTCTGACACCAAATGTGTGGGTTTTTTCCCACACCAAAAACCAATTCTCCAACTCTCTGGACACCAATAATTCAATCCCAACATTAACTATCAGGAGTTACTATTAGACCTCATAGGTTAAGGCCTCAGTCCTACAAGACTACCCCCCAACTCAGATGCCAATCACAAGTCGAGGCCTCACATACTTCTGATCTACCACCCCCTCCTCGGGCTGGATAACTTGCTAGAATTGTTTGCAGAACTCAGGAAACCAGTTTCATTACTACTACTGGTTTATTATAAAAATGTAAAGACGACCAGGTATGATGGCTCATGTCTGTAATCCCAGCACTTTGGAAGTCCGAGGCAGGTGGATCACTTGAGTTCTTGAGTTTGAGACCATCCTGGGCAACATGGTGAAACCCTGTCTCTACTAAAAATACAAAAATGAGCCGGGCATGATGGTGCACACCTATAGTCCCAGCTACTCGGGAGGCTGAGGTGAGAGGGTCACTGGAGCCCAGGAAGTCGAGGCTACAGTGAGTCATGATCTTGCCACTGCACTCTGACCTGGGTGACGGTGAGACCCTATCTCAAAAAAAAAAAAAAAAAAAAAAAAGGCATAAAGGATGCAGATGAGGAGGTGCACAGGGCAAAGTCCAGAAGGGTCTCAAGCAAAGGCGCTTCTGTTCCCATGGCATAGGGAGTGCCATCCTCGGGGCATGCGGATGCATTCATCAACCCAAAAGCTCTCCCAGCCCTGTGGTTTAGGGGATTGCGGGTTTCACCATGTTGGCCAGGCTGGTTTCGAACTCCTGCCCTTAGATGATCCACCTTCCTCAGGCTCCTAAAGTGCTGGGATCACAGGCCTGAGCCACTGTGCCCAGTTACTTTCTGGCCCAACAGTATATTCCAGGTTCATCTTGTCCTTGTCCTGACCCGACTCTGGAGTCAGCTGTATTTCCAGGGAGCTCTGCGTCCTTTAAGAAGAGCTCTGTATTTAGAAACTGGGGCCTGAGTGTGATCTTGGCTCACTGCAACCTCTGCCTTCCAGGTTCAAGCGAATCTCCCATCTCAGCCTCCCAAGAGTAGCTGGGACTACAGGTGCGCACCACGACACCCAACTAAATTTTGTATTTTTTGGTAGAGACGGGGTTTCACCATGTTGGCTAGGCTGGTCTTGAACTCATAAATTGTATTTTGATTTTATGTTGTTGATATGTAGAAGTAATCTTTTTGGTTGATTCTGTGTCCTGCATCCTTGCTAAATTCTATTTCAATACTCTCTACCTGTAGATTTTCTTACAGTCTGGAGACCAGAAAACTACTGTTGTGACTGTTGTGTTGTTGCCTCTGCCACAGCTGCCTCACACCCAGAAACGAGCCCACCGTGGAGGAGAGCTTTGCCACTGTGGACACTTGCTTCTCAGCCACAACCTTTTGCTTTCCAAACCCCAGCCTGGGCACCTAGTTGGTGGAAGATACTCACATCCCTGATCCCAGGAATACGGTGACTGTAATTTTTTAGGTTTCTGACCCCACCAAATAGGAGGAGGGTTAAGATGTGGCATGAAAGAGCCCATTAAAATATCTACCACACTAGCCAAAATATCAATCAAGAGTGAGGTTAATATACATTTTAAAACAGGGACTCAGCAGGTTATCTAATCACACATTCTCACTGAAAGAACTAGGAACTAAATGATGTACTTTATGAAGAAGGAAACTGAATACAGAAAAAGTGTGTAGGATTCAACAAGCATATGAGAAAACATAAATGAGAGAGTTGCATAAGGTTCAGGAACATTATAAATTTATCATGATTTAAAAAATGGGGGCTGGCCGGGCGCGGTGGCTCAAGCCTGTAATCCCAGCACTTTGGGAGGCCGAGATGGGCGGATCACGAGGTCAGGAGATCGAGACCATCCTGGCTAACACGGTGAAACCCCGTCTCTACTAAAAATACAAAAAACTAGCCGGCACGGTGGCGGGCGCCTGTAGTCCCAGCTACTCGGGAGGCTGAGGCAGGAGAATGGCGTGAACCCGGGAGGCGGAGCTTGCAGTGAGCTGAGATCTGGCCACTGCACTCCAGCCTGGGCGACAGAGCGAGACTCCGTCTCAAAAAAAAAAAAAATGGGGGCTGGGCATGGTGGCTGATGCCTGTAATCCCAACACTTTGGGAGGCCAAGGTTGATGGATCACTTGAGCACAGGAGGTCGAGACCAGCCTGGGCAACATGATGAAACCGCATCTCTACTGAAAAAAAAAAAACACAAAAAACAAAACTGGCCAGGTGGGGTGGTGCACGCCTATAGTCCTAGCTACTCAGGAGGCTGAGGTGTGAGGATCACTTGAGCCTAGGAAGCAGAGGCTGCAGTGAGATGAGATTGCACCACTGCAGTCCAGCTGGGGTGACAGAACAAGACCCTGTGTCAAAAAAAAAAAAAAAAAAAAAAAAAGGATAGTATTGGTATATGAGGTATTGGTACATAATTGAACAAGTAGAACAATGGAACAAAAAGTCCGGATATAGTTCTAAATATATACAGTAACTTAGTATAGGATAAATATGGCATCTTAAATCAATGGGGAAAAGATGGATTATTCAATATATTGTAAAAACTTGAGAACCACATTCAAAAAGTTGGTCCCCTACCTCATTCTTTACAACAAAATTAATTCAGATAGATGTGGTCACAGAAGTGCTAGAACAATATGCGGGGGATTTAAAAATAATCTTGAGGTGGGGAAGACTTTTATAGGTATGACTCACAACCCAGAAGACATAAAAGATTGTTAAATTTAATTAGATAAAACATTTAATTATATGAGACATTCAAAGATTACATTTAGAAATCATAAACTAAATCCAAAGAATAACTAGGGACTGGCCGCAGTGGCTTCCATCTGTAATCCCACGAGGCAGGTGATCACCTGAGGTCGGGAGTTTGAGACCAGCCTGGCCAACACAGTGAACCCCTGTCTCTACTAAAAGTACAACAATTAGCTGGGTGTGGTGGTGCACACCTGTAGTCCCTGCTACTGGGGAGACTGAGGCATGAGAATTGCTTGAACCTGGGAGGTGGAGGTTGCGGTGAGGCAAGATAGTGCCGCTGCATTCCATCCTGGGCGACAGAGCAAGACCGCATCTCAAAAAAAAAAAAAAGAATAGGGAGAAAACACCATGATGTGTTGCATAATAACATTTCAGTCATTCATGGACCAAATATAAAACAGGGGTCCCATAAAACTATAATACCATGTGTTTACTGTACCTTTTCTATGTTTAGACCCATTTAGAGACACAAATATTTACCATTGTGCTACAATTGCCTAGTGTTCAGTAGCATGCTGTACAGGTTTATCCCTAGGAGGCACAGACTATCCCATACAGCCTAGGCATGTAGCGGACTATGCCATCTAAGTTTGTGTGAGTACACGCTGTGATGTTCACACAGTGGCCTCCACCGTTAGGCGATGCATGACTAGCCCAGGTCTCAGATACTGTATCAAGTTTCATCATATTATGAGCTTTTACAAATCATTAAGAGAAAGACCAATAAACCAGTAGAAAACTGGGAAAAGGTGGCATCTGCAGGGTAACACCAGGGCAGCACAGAAATCTTGCTGGGATGAGGAGTTGCAAACATGTGTGGTCGACCTTTTGGCTTTCTGCCTCTTCTACTCTCAGGGATGGCGAATCATGACCTAAAGAAATTGTCTTTTCTCAGTGTTGCATCTTCCCAAGGATTTAAAGGGGAGACCTGACCAGAGGAATGATCAACAGTGGATTTGTGATGCCTGGAGCTCATTTCCTTCTTTCTCCTTAACTGCCCTGGAAGGAAACGGACTAGTGCCTTATCTCTGACTCCTCCACAGCACACACCCACCACCAGAGACAGTAACTGAGATCTGCAGTAGCACAGAAACTTAGAGGTTAGAAAAATTAGACACCTAAGGATTTCATGACTCCAGACCTGTTTCCTTAGCATAATACCACACCAGTAAGTGGAATACAACTTATGAAATTTTGTAAATAAATTCTATAAAATTTGTGGTAAAAATTTATTGTTAAAAAATTATTAAAAGGCAATTGGGTTGGAAGGAAGTTCTGTCAAAATACAATCCAGGTGTGTAGTTCTCTGCTAAATTTTGTAAATAAATTCTATAAAATTTTTGGTAAAAATTTATCGTTAAAAAATTATTAAAAGCAATTAGGTTGGAAGGAAGTTCTGTCAAAATACAATCCAGGTGTGCAGTTCTCTGCTAAATTTAGAAGTGATTACTACTGAGGCAGTCTCAAAAAAGCATAAGAGGACTTTATGGGGTGATGCAAATTTTCTACATTGCCTTTGTAGAGATGGTTATACATTTGTCAATACTCATTAATTTGTACATTTAAAAAAGGTAAATTTATTGTATATAAATTGTATCTTAATGAAACTGATTAAAACACACATACAAACCCCAGACCCTCTGCAGTCCTGAATTTGAATGGAAAATATTGGTGTGAACTCATGATGAATTTATTTTTATTTTATTATTATTATTATTCTTATTTTGGAGATGGGAATCTCACTCTGTTGCCCAGACTGGAGTGCAGTGGCGTGATCTCGGCTTACTGCAACCTCCGTCTCCCAGGTTCAAGCAATTCTCCTGCTTCAGCCTCCCAAGTAGCTAGGATTACAGGCACCTGCCACCACGCCTGGCTAATTTTTGTATTTGTAGTAGAAATGGGGTTTCACCGTGTTGGCCAGGCTGGTCTCGAACTCCTGACCTCAAATGATCCACCTGCCCTGGTCTCCCAAAATGCTGGGATTACAGGCGTGAGCCACCGCGACTGGCCTTATTTTTTATTTCCTTTTGAGACAGGGTCTTGCTCCGTTGCCCAGGCAGGAGTACAGTGGTGTGATCCAGGCTCCCTGCAGCTTCGATCCCCCGGGCTCAAGCCATCCACCCCCATCAGCTCCCCGAGTAGCTGGGACTATAGGCCTGAGCCACTATGCCTGGCTAATTTTCAAAGTTTTTTTTTAGAGATGTGGTCTATGTTGCCCAGGCTGGTCTCGAACTCTAGGGCTCAAGTGATCCTCCTGCCTCAGCCTCCCAAAGTATTGGGATTACAGGTATGAGCCACCACATCTGGCCAATTTTTTTTTTTTTTTTTTTTTTCAGGGAGGAAATACACACTCTCCTATATTTGCTAGCTGTTAATACTGGAAAGGCCTAGAAACAAAGATCGTCTTCTATCAATGAGCATTCCTAGTACCCAAAGTATGGTGTCCACTTTTTTCCAATTTAAAAAAACCCAGAGCTCCTTGGAATAACATGGAAATATACAATCTCTACAGTAGTTATTAGATAGCAAGGAAATTATCAGACTAGTAAGGTGTGTCAAAAAGACTTGAGGCTGGCCAGGCGCAGTGGCTCACACAATCCCAGCACTTTCGGAGGCTGAGGTGGGCAGATCACCCTGAGGTCAGGAGTTCGAGACCAGCATGGCCAATATGGTGAAACATTCCTAAAAATACAAAAAATTAACTGGGTGTGGTAGTGGGCGCCTGTAATCCCAGCTACTCAGGAGGCTGAGGCAGGGAAGCTTGAACCCGGGAGGCAGAGGTTGCAGTAGGCCAAGATCGCACCATTGCACTCCAGACCGTGTGACAGAGCAAGACTGTTTCCAAAAAAAAAAAAAAAAAGACTGGAGGCCAACTTGAAGAGGCTCCCATTGGCCAAAGATGGGACAATCTGAGCATCAAAAGGAATAACTTTAAAGAATCCAGCATTTATCCTACCTTTCCCATACCTCTACATAAGCAAATATCTCGGTGAGCAGCTTTTCTTCATAGAAGTACTCTAGCAAACGGCTGGGTACAGTGACTCACGCCTGTAATCCCAGCACTTTGGGAGGCCGAGGCAGGTGGATCACCTGATGTTGGGAGTTCGAGACCAGCCTGACCAACATGAAGAAACCCTGTCTCTACAAAAAATACAAAATTAGCCAAGCATGGTGGCACATGCCTGTAATCCCAGCTACTCGGAAGGCTGAGGCAGGAGAATCACTTGAACCTGGGAGGTGGAGGTTGCAATGAGCCGAGATCGCGCCATTGTACTCCAGCCTGGGCAACAAGGGCGAAACTCCATCTCAAAAAAAAAAAAAAAACAAAAAAACCCCCCCAAAAAAGTTCTTTAGCAAACAAAGAAGGAAGAGAGAAGATCCCCATTTTGTAAGCTTTAATGAACTCACCACTTGAGGTATTAATCAGTGGTTGCTGGCAACTCCAAAAAAGAAACAACCAGACACTCACTACTACCACTTCCTTTTTTTTTTTTTTTTTTTTTGAGACAGTGTCCCACTCTGTCACCCAGACTGGAGTACAATGACACAATCTCGGCTCACTGCAACCTCCGCCTCCTGGGTTGAAGCGATTCTCCTGCCTCAGCCTCCCGAGTAGCTGGGATTACAGGCGCCCACCACCACACCCAGCTAATTTTTTGTATTTTTAGTAGAGACAGCGTTTCACGGTGTTGGCCAGGCTGGTCTCAAACTCCTGACCTCAGGTAATCCACCTGCCTTGGCCTCCCAAAGGGCTGGGATTAAAAATGTGAGCCACCACGCCTGCCCAACTCAGTGCTATTATTTCATCTCCTACCACTTAAAGTTTTTTCTGAACAGCAGAATTATAAACCAAGTCTCAGATACCATAAACTTATGTATCTGTCAGAGAAGGATTTTTTTAAAAAGAAAAATATAAACACCATTATCACACCCAAGAAAATTGTAAATAACTCCTTGACATCATGTAGTGTTATTTTTTTAATGTGATAATGGTGTGGTTATTAACAAAAGATCTTTAAATAAAATATTTCCAGATTAAATGATATCTGCTCTCTGCCTTGCAGTAATATTCAAGGAGGCCAGGTGAGGTGGTTCATGCCTATAATCCCCATATTTTGGGAGGCTGAGACAGGAGGATCACTTGAGCCTGGGAGTTTGAGAGCAGCCTGGGCCACATAGTGAGACCCTGTCTCGTATATTAATAAATCAATTTAAATAAATAACTGAAATAATATGGAAGGGTGGTATTAGTGGATGAGGTGGGACTGGCCAAAGGTTGGCTGCTGTTGGTGCTAAATAAATTTAAATAAATAACTGAAATAATATGGAAGGGTGGTATTGGTGGATGAGGTGAGGCCAGGGTGAGGTGGTTCATGCCTATAATCCCTACATTTTGGGAGGCTGAGACAGGAGGATCACTTGAGCCTGGGAGTTTGAGAGCAGCCTGGGCTGCTATAGTGAGACTCCTGTCTCGTATTAATAAATCAATTTAAATAAATAACTGAAATAATATGGAAGGGTGGTATTAGTGGATGAGGTGGGATCACAAAGGTTGGCTGCTGTTGGTGCTAAAAATAAATTTAAATAATAACTGAAATAATATGGAAGGGGTGGTATTCGGTGGATGAGGGTGGGACTGCCAAGGCTTGGCTGTTGTAGGTGCTAAATAAATTTAAATAAATAACTGAAATAATATGGAAGGGTGGTATTGGTGGATGAGGTAGGACTGGCCAAGGCTTGGCTATTGTTGGTGCTAGATAATCAGTACACGGGATTAGTACTATTAATTATATGTCTGTTTTTAAAATTCTCCATAATAAAAAAAAAAAAAAGCATAGAATAATCAAAACGAGGCTGGGTACAGTGGCTCACAATTGTTATCCTACCACTTTAGGAGGTCAACGCAGGAGGACTGCTTGAGGCTTGGAGCGCAAGACCAGCTTAGCCAACATGCTGAGACTCTCTCTACAAAAAAATTAAAATTAAAATTAAAAAAAAAAAAGAGGGAAAAACCTACCAAGTAAAATCAATTAAGATAAGTTAGCCAAACTTTTGAAATATTTTACAGGCACTGTCAGTTGGAATTTTTGTCAGGTTGATAACAATGGGATATTTTACACAATCATATCAACACAGAAAAGATTTCTTATAAACATAGATATTAGACAGGAAACAAACCGCAATAGATGACATCTAACATATATTTTAGTTTGCTTTTCAAAAATCCATAAATATTCTTAAGTTTTAAAAGTTGATTTTTAGGTTAACTTTTGATATCTGACAGTATAGATGTGGCAGATTCCATACCTTTTCCTTCCTGGTAACAAAGCCCATTTCTGAGAGAGTGAGATACTATTGCAGCCTCAAGGAATAAATTGTTTGATCTAAATCATTTTCATTCCCTTGGATAGTGATTTATCTAGAAATCATCATTTGACTTAGTTTTGACCAAAGAGATGTAAAGACATCTTCCAACTGGGATGTCTGGAAAAGTTTTTACTTTCCTAATTTAAAAGGGAAGAGTCTTGGCTGACTAGCTCTTCTCTCTTTAACTTTTCTCCTAACTAGATACACAGCCACCTATGATCCTGAAGCGACAATTATAAAGATAAACACCAGCGTACGAAAGATGGCAGAACAGAAAGGAAGTGCCTAGGTCCCTAACTATAGGAACAGTAATACTCGCTTTGGACAGTCTACCCTGTAGAGTTCTTGTATATGAGAAAAACAAACCCCAATTTGCTTAATCCAGTATAGATTTTTGTTTCTTGTAGCTGAACATATTCCTGATACAATGAAAGACATCAAAAATATAAACACTGAATGAAAGCAGGCACCACAAATGTCCACTTCGTAAGTGCAAAGGGGCTAGAAATAAATCTGAGTGAACATAAGACAACCAAATTAGGAAAGAAGAATATTTATTATACAAATATAAAAATCTATACATTCTTAGCTGATGATATATACTTAATCAAAAAGTCTTTTAATTTGGATATATGCATCATTTCCTTCATTGTCGTGTCTCTGCTTCTCAGATGTATTAATCCATTCTCCAAAGTAGTTTCAGTGATCAAAACTGTGAAGAGGATACTCATTTCATCATACCTAAGAACAAAGTAGTTAAACAGACACATGAGCACAAATGTAAATGATAAATTCCTCCATGTTGCCAGCTGTCATGCCAGTGTCCATGCACTCTCAAGAGTCACAAACTCAGTCAGGGCTTGAGGGTGATCAAAAAAACCCAACATTTGTAAAGTTCTGAATCGTATTTAAAGTAAACTTTTCAGACAGTTTCTAACTTATTGCTAAAGCTGAAAAGTCATCAAATCAAATCAAATCTGAGAATAAACACTGGTACCTCAACACATCATTTGGGCATTTGGGGTGATATCACAGATGAACCTCATAATCTCCACCTTTTGGTTCTTGGACGCAATCTGAGAACAATTATTTTAGATGGAAGTCTCTTACAATAAACAATATTATAATAAAGATGCAATTTGGTATAACAAATTATACGGAAGTTTCTTACAATAAACAATATTATAATAAAGATGCAATTTGGTATAACAAATTATACCAAAATCATGTTTCATTTATTACTGAGTATGTTAGCTTATAGCTTCTA